CCCAACGACAGGACATAGCTGCCACTCTCCTGGTTCAAGTAGACATGTCCTTTGACAAGCACACAGCCTCAGCCGCAACGCAAGCAGGTTTCTAATGTCTAGATTTCGCAACCCTAACATACGGCGACAGCTTCGAACAACCAACCAACAAACTCATTCTGCAATAAAGGTTCCTGCCCAGCACGACCGGAGCATCTGCAAGTCCAGGCCATCTTGCGCATACCGCAGGATGAAAGCGGTCGCCGCCGCCGCTTTTCTCTGTGCAAAGTATCCTGCTGGTCTCCACTTCTTGATCTGAGCTTTGGTGACATTCTCGAAGGGCAAATCATGGAACTTACCGGCGAACGGCTTCAAACTTTCGAACTCCTTCACATCTTCAGCGCTCTGCATTCGAATGTCGCTCTGTGCTGGAACCAAGGTTTTCGAGCCTCCCTTGCTAGCATGCTGGTTGGCAGTCAAGTACAGCATCTTTGTAGCGTCGCCCATGCTGTCGGTCTTGCTGTGGCGTTGAACAGAATCCTTCAAGTAGGCGAAAGCATCTTCGCACATCCGTTTGGTTTCAACAGAGGAAGCGAACATGACAAATCCGAGCTCGCGTAGGCTTTGCTCCCGAAGATTCCACGACTGCTGTTCACCTTGAATGATCAATTCACGGGTCAGCACCCACCAGAAGGTTCCCAAGTCGTCTATGAGGCTGCCGACGGCCTGTCGCATTGGCCCTGGTCCTTGCTGCCTGTATGCCAGATCCACGTTGCGGAAGCATTTGGAGAGGCTGCGCAAAAAAATTTCCGAAGCATCCACATCGGAATCTTTCTCGGCAAATACTCGGGCGAAACAGTGTGGGAAGCAAATACTGTGATGCATCTGGCTCCACACGCGGGCACTGCTCAATTCCACAACAAAATTCCACATCGATTTGCAGATTTTGCAATCTACCCGAACAGTTGGATCGTCCAGAGACACTGGCAGGTTGTCGTTGTCGTAGGACCGGAGGTCTAAGCCGCGGAGCACATGAGGCGCTTGCAACAGCTGCGCGAAACCCAGCACGGTCTCGTACCAAGAACCCAGGCTGCGAGCTGCCTGAAAGTGGAGCTTGTCAAACGCATCGCCTTTCTGTTTCTCAAGCCAGTTCGCATACTCCTGATGGAGGACCGAACCTGTGTGCTTTTGTAAACACCAAGCTGAAAACCAAACTTGTTGGACATTACCAAAGACAAAAGACACAAGACCCAGAACTCTGGAACACTAGAAGGCACCTCCGTAGATCAAAATCCGCGTTCGCAAGTGATGCTCATGATCATGAAGAAATTCTTCAATCATTTCGTCCGTGCCCTCGAAAGACTCCCGCAGCAGCTTGAACTCAGCACGGTTGTTTGGCTCTGGCCTTTCCGGCTGCGGCGGATCCTCCGCTTCGTGTCCATTGAAGTCCTGCACGACTAGAGCAGGCAGCAACAGGCGCACATACTGCACTTCAATTCACGTCTGGCAACTCCCACCAATAGCCCTAAACGTCATGAGCCACATTTAAAAGCAAGCCCGATCACACGTAGAACACGTGAAGCTGGGGGGTCAGACTCCGGGTGGCCTCGTTGTCCAGAGGATGTGTTTGGTTTGCAACCATGATCACTGCTTCCAGGATACTCCAGTCATAGTCAAGTTTCGTGAAACTTGCCAACATGCCAAACCACTGTTTTGATTTCGCCTTAGGAAGCTACAAAGGTGTGAGAACAGCATCAACAAAGCAGCAAGACAAGGAATTACTGGCACAACACACTTTAATGCATCCGGAAACATATGGCAGTCGTAGTGTCACTGCACGAGATCCGAGGATTTGTTCCCGAGTCAGCGGGGCAAAGTTGCCTGGTCGGTGCCGATCAAAGTTCACCTTCTCGTTCAATTCGTCCATGTAGTCGTTGCTCGCTTTTGAAACCAAACGTTCCTAGGTTAGCCATCTACATGCATTCCCCTCTGTGTTTGCAGCAAGAACAAATGGCATGGATCGGCTGAGGCGCTGCTGCTTGCTTGATCGTGACCCTCCGTTTCCCGCTCTTCCATGGCCCTGCACCATAGTTTGCGCACGCGCAAGCCTTCAGCATGGTGCCCTGCAACGATGCTTTGGATACCGACCTCTTGAAATCGTTCCAACTCGGATGGCAGCATTCAGCTGTTGCCACCCCTCTCAAGTCCAGGACGGAAAACAGTAGATTGAAGGCCCGCCATTGGCGGGCCTCCTCGTCCGCCACCTCATCTGATTTGACTGACATGCGCTCGGCTTGCTGATTTGTGTGCATGCCAACTTCCGAATGCATGCCAAATCACGATCCTCAGAGTTGGGCGGTGGGATAGCGGTGGCAACTCCAACGACTTGATGCGGTCACTGCTCAACGGCCCAAGCAGTTTCACGTGATATTCACCGTCGGGTATAAACCTCCGAAGGGACTTGTCTGCCATCACCCGTAGTGCCTGTTCCAAGACTTGCAAAGTGGCCTTGGCTGCATGTGAAGGTTTTGATTGCATTCTGACTGAATCGACGATACCGCAAGCACTTGATTATCGGGGCAAGTTGCATACACAGCATTCGACATGTCGTTCTCGAAGATCTGCCTGTGCAGGGATTGCACCGGCCTGCTGCCCGAACCTTCTCTTACAAAACATGCATGTCGTGGGCCTGACTTCGTCTTCATGATCTGGATCTGCAGAGAGGACGAACTCATCCAGTGCCTCAGGCCCGGCAGCGAGAGCAGCAACCCGAAGCAGCACGACCCCAGTGCAAGGGAACACGACCGCTTCTCAAGCAATGCCCTGTGTTCACATGGCGAAACTGTTTTGTCCAGCTTGCCGTCCTGCGCTCTTTGCAGCTGCCGCGTACATGCGGCATGTTTCCTAGGAAAACCAAAGCGCTAGCGACTGATGCTGCTGCCGCGTACGTGCGGCACTTTTGGAACACCTGTGCTCAGCCTGTGCAGGAAGCCAATGCGATAAGTGATAAGGAGCGAGTGGATTTTTCGGGTCTGTGCCCTGCCAATACCAAGTATCCTAAGAATCCCTATGGCTTCCATGCTCCAACCGAGCAGCAAATGGAGAACATGAAATCAGGCAGGCCGTGCCTACTGTTCATAGGATCCGCCCGGAAGCCGACTTCAGGAATGCGTTCAGGCATCTCAATCTCCGATGCCGCCGCCAGTATCTGCCGCCGTGGCTTCTGACTCCTCCACGGGCTCACCTTCCGATGCTTCCGCCTCCGCTTCTGCTAGAGCTGCGTCGAGGTCGGCATCGAAGTCGGCTGCGTCGGCGTCCTCGCGGCCCTCCGAGCGAAGGGAGGAAGCCTCTGCTTCGTCCAACTCTGGATCCGGTTCGGGAACAGGCTCTGGAGCGAGCAGGGCAACTCGGGGCTCCTCCGCGTCCGCCTGTTCCACAGATTAGGTCAGGAATTGCCACATGAGAGAGTGCACAAGAACAGGGGACAATGCGCAGCAGACTGAACTATGCAATAGGCCTTGCTCTCCTTCTCCGGCTCCTTCAACTTCTTGCGCTCTGGCACGGCGACCTTTTCATTCAAGCGCACTCGTTTCGCGGGAGCAGGAGGCAAGGCTTTGGCTTTCACCGCTGCTGCTTTCGGCCCTGGTGTCTTTGGCGGCGTTGTCGCCGGTGTCGGTGCGCTCTTCGCTGCAGTCATCATGGCGTCCGACTTCCTCACACGACATATCTTCCGCCCGCCAGTTCTCTCTTTCTCTGTCACTGCCTTTGCCTTGTCGTGCGTACGTAACCAAAACAGTCTACATACATATATGTATATATATACACACAAATGTACGTGTCTCTGTGTGTGTGTGGGAACTGATTGCGCATGAACAGCATGCACTTGCAAGGCATGTGTGATGCATCCTCCGTACCAAGAAATGCACAAGCTGCGTGTTTTTACCCGTGTGCGTGACGAACCGTGGGTGCGCGGGTGGGGAAACGAGAGAGAGAGAGAGAGAGCGAGAGAGAGCGAGGGAGAGCGAGAGAGAGAGAGAGAGAGAGAGAGGAGAGAGGGAGAGAGAGAGAGAGAGGACTGCTCCCGCCCCAAGCCCCTAGCAAAGCAAAGCAAAGAGAGAGAGTGAGAGAGACAGAGAGAGAGAGAGAGAGAGAGAGAGAGAGAGAGAGAGAGCCGGAGCATGAGAGAAAGACACCGACAGATGTGGTGCTGGTGGTGGTGCTGCTGGTGCTGCTGCTGGTGGTGGTGGTGGTGGTTGTCGTGGTTGCTGTTGTCGTCGTCGTCTTCGTCCTTGTCGTGGTTTGCGGTTCCTGCTGTTGTTTTGCTGTTTTGTTGTTTGCGGTTTCACGTTTTGCGGCTTACTTGTTGTTCTTGTTACAGCACTGGCATTGTTGTTATTCTGCTTCTTCTTGTGGCTGCTGGTGTTGTTGCTGCTGGTGTTGTTGCTGTTGCTGTTGCTGTTGCTGTTGTTGCTGTTGCTGTTTCTGTTTCTGTTGCTGTTGCTGTTGCTGTTGCCGTTGCTGTTGCTGTTGCTGTTGCTGTTGTTGTTGTCGTTGTCGTTGTCGTTGTCGTTGTCGTTATCGTTATCGTTGCCGTTGTCGTTGTCGTTGTCGTTGTGGTTGTCGTTGTCGTTGTTGTTGTTGTTGTTGTTGTTGTTGTTGTTGTTGCTGTTGTTCTCCTTGTTGTTCTTGTTGTCGTTCTTGTTGTTCTTGTTGTTGTTGCGGTGGGGGTGGTTGTGGTTCTTGGGGGTGGGGGGGGTGGGGGGGGGGGGGGGGGGGGGGGGTTGGCGGGGGGGGGGCGGGGGGTGGGGGGGGGGGGGCGGGGATCTGGAGGCGCAAATCTGGGGGGGCCCCCTTCTACCTACGTCCCAAAATCTGGGGGTTCAAATCTGGGGGGTCCCCCTAAAAACCCGAAAAAACCGTTTTAGGGCCCGGCTGGGTTCCTGGTCCTGGCTAGTCCTAAAAGGGATTGAATACATTTCTAGGTGAATTACACTTAAACCAGGAACCAACGTGGACTACACCTAAGTTGCGGGGGTCCTCTTCTTCTCGATCTCGTCTTTCTTGGCCTTGGCATCCTTCTCCGACTCCAGCTGCCTCGGGGCTTGGGGCACAAAGGTTGTTGGGGCAGAGGGGGCTTAGGGTTCCTTCCAGGGCTTAGGGCACAAAGGTTGGGGCAGAGGGGGCTTAGGGTTGGGCTCAGGGCACAAAGGTTGGGGCAGAGGGGGCTTAGGGTTCCTTCCAGGGCTCAGGGCAAAAAGGTTGGGGGGCTTAGGGTTCCTTCCAGGGCTTAAGTTCAGGGCTTCAGGGTTCCGGGTTCCAGGGGCACACCAGGCCTTAGGTTCCGGGTTCCAGGCCACAATGGAGCGACACATAAGCGACAAATAAGCGACAAATAAGCGATACATAAGCGATAAATAAGCGAGAAATAAGCGAAAATAAGCACTAATAGGGCTTAATAAGGCTTAATAGGTCCCCTGAGGGAGGACTTCACAAGGAGGCTCAGGGTCGTGCTGCCGAAAGCCACCCCCCCACCCCCCACCCCCCCAAGGATCAAGCGGGAAGGGAGCAAGCCGGGGCAGCCGAACCCTCCCCCCCACACCCCAAAATCAGACACCAAAGATCTCGATGGAACAGGCCGGGGCAGCCGAAACCCCCGACACCAACACCCAAAATCAGACACCAAAGACCGCAATACTGACAGCGAAGACCCCAATCTTAACCGCAATCCCCGTCACAACCCACTGCCAAAAGAAGCCCTGTTCTTGGATTCCTATTATTACTATCATTATTATCATTGTTATTATCACATTATTTGATCCAATGATTGTCCATAACAAGGACCCAATGTAGCTATTCAATTTAACCATACCCGGGATTCCCTAGGAGGACCCAAACGCTTAGACCCAAACCCCGAGCCGGAGTGACAAAACAGGCTCCCCCTGGAGAATTAGGGGTCCCCCCCAGATTTGAACCCCCAGATTTTCGGACGTAGGTAGAAGGGATCCCCCCCAGATTTGTGACCCCAGATTTGTGACCCAACCCTTGGCTGCTGAACCTCTGTAATCTGTCTATTTTAAAGTAATGGATTCACATGCTTTCACACCAACCCACACAAACGAAACATCCTATGACCCAACACCAAGCAAGAACCCCAATGCAAAGCCACACCGTCCTGAGCTCACGTACATGCAGACAAGTCACTTGGCCGCTCGTTTCTCGAGCGTGCTAACATATCTGGGCTTCACGTGCAAGCCTTTCTCACAATCGTCAACGAACCATTCCTGCGTCTCTGGATGCTGCTGCAGCACCCAGGTTACCCCTTCGGGCAACGGAATGCTCGTATTCTCGGTGTGCAACACTTGCAATCCATCCTCTGCGGTCTGGATGTACGGGAACTCCAAGACCTGCCGCGGGGGGACCCCCGCCCCCAAATCCAGGTTATCAATGCTGGGGTTTGGGCTCTATAGTCTATTGCTTCGGCTTTGGAGTCTTGCCTCGCCATCCATGAGCCCTTCCTCTTCCTCTTCTGAGTCTCCATCATCCGGGACGCGCGTCATCCCAGGAAGTGATACCACGTTGGTGTCGCCATCGCCTTCCGTGCCTGCGGTGCCGCCCGCACTTCCAGCCGCCTCTGCAAAGAAGTCGGACACCGGGATGTTGTCCAATCCTTGGTGCACGAAGAACACACCTTCGTGCTCGCAGAGTGCCCAGTAGCCCTGCCCGTTGCTCGCGATTTCCGGCAAGGCCATCTGTCCCATCGCCTCTCCATGGAGGTGCTGCAGGATGTACCAAACGCCCTCAATGAATGCGACCGAGTAGGTGGTCTCTGGCACGGGCTCCTCGCCTGCCTCCTCTTCTTCCGTGTATGGAACGATCGCACCGGCCACAGCTGCATCCGGAGCAGATGCCTTTGGCGTCGCGGCCGACCCGCCACTGCCGGGCCCACTCTCACCACTCATCAGGTTCCTGACATGCTCTTTCGCTTCTCTGCCAGTATACTGGAGACGAGCGAGCGGTCGCCCCAGTCGCTCATATTCATCTTTGAGCGCCTGCAAACAGGCGGCTTTCTCCATCCTTTGCCACATGCGGCCACACGCAGCAGCTTTAATTACCGAGACACGCAACAAAAAAAATCCTCTCACTCAGCTTGCTTTGCCGCGCAACTCCGGTATGCGAGCCGAGGGCTCCATGCCGGTAGCAAGGAAGACCAAGCACAGCAGGGATTCACGGTCACACCCTTGTAGCATTATTTGTGTGCACACGGAGGGCTCGATGAAACGAAGCCACTCCATGAGGTGGGAGTCCTTAGCTCAGGTTTTCGTGGTCATACCCTCTTGTTTCTGAAATGCAACTGGCACAATGAAGAGCATCACAGAATTATGGCAAGCAGGCTTCGGACAGGTAAGCGATGTTGTGGTACGAGGTACTGTAGCGTTCGACTTGTCGTCGGCGAGTGCCTCCCGCGCTCACCTGTGCTTTGCCCGTAGCCTTTGGTGCCTTAGGCACTGCAGCACGGCCCATCGGATGGTGTGGAGTGACAGACCCGTCGCTCCACCTCAGTACGCGAAGCGCATTCAATGCACGGTCACATAGAATTGAACACGCACGGGCACAACCACCAAGTCACCAAGTAATTGAGGCCAGCCGCGTGATGGCTGGGACGGCTGGTGTCTCCGGCACAGCCTTGGGTGCAGCCGGTGCTGCGACCGGCAAGCGGCTGGCCCGCCGCGGGTCGAAGTTTGCCATCGCCGTTCCTTGCTTTGGCACTGTCATCTTTGGCACGGGTACATGCGCGGCAGGGGTCTTCGGATGCATGGGGATCGCTGGTGTTGCCTTGGCTGGGACGGGACGGACACTTGCCACGGCTTTCGGTGGCACAGCTTTCGGTGGCAAAGCTTTCGCGGGCGCAGCCTTGGGTGGGTTCCTCGTGACTGCTTTTGCAGGGGCTGGGGCCCTGCTCGGACGCATGTTGCCTGCACCACACAAGCAACTTCGTCTAAAATGGGATGCTTGAACCTGACACCGGTAGCACTGCAATTGCAAACTGTCTGCTGCAAGCACGCAAATCAATCATGTCATCCAGAATCTGCAAATCTGAGCCGGGAGGGAGGGGGGGACATTGTGTGTGTGAGAAACTGAGAAACCTGTGGCAGTGTGTGGCTGTCTTTGCGTGCGGTTGCGTGTTTCGGTCTTTTGGTACGTACATCTAGGAATGTATGCACGTTTGCATGCACGTATGTCAGTATCTACGCATGCATGTACGTATGTCTGTAAGTATGCATGTATATGTATGTATGTATGTATGTATGTATAGGTATGTATGTATATACGCCTGACAGCGTATGTGTGTGAGTACTATTGTAGCACACCGCAAAACATACCCACCCAACCCCCCACACACACACACACATGTTTCTACATACTGCACACGGTCGCCCCTGACATCGACGACCTGAACCAACGCTGTTGCTCCAGTTTTCACTGGGTTTGAGGGAGCTTTAGTACATAAGTATCAGCTCTCTAGATAAAATAACAGACTATGTGTGTGTATATATGTGTCTATATAACTAAATGGATAAGCACATAATATTCGTGGCGAACTTTAGAGAAGAACAACGGCTCGGACGACATGGAATGCAATTTCAGGGCCCGTCTTCCGTATTTCACATTGCATCTTGGCCGTCGGTCTGAACTTGGATTCATCCAGACTAGACCAGGCGCTAGCACCCTCGCAGGCTCGACCAATCTAGTAGGTCAGCGCTGTCCCTCTGCAAGCGCGCACCAAAGCAGGTGAGACCACAAAGCAAGACCAATGCGCAATTGCTGAAATGCATGGAATTGCCGCATACAGAATCAGCGCGAAGTGGGTCGAGCACCGGCAAGGCTGGAACACCCAAGACGGAAGCAGCTTCCTTGGTCACGGGATAGCCGTGACATGCCAACTTCTCCACGGGGCACATCCAGCGCTTTCTTGAATTGTTCCACATTCTGCCGCTGCTGCGACGAAGAGTCGGTATTCTGCCACTTGACGCTGACCATGTCACTGTCCAACGAACATTGTCGCCTAGGTACACGCAGCAGTCCTCATCCTCCTCTGCGTTGCTACCAAACCTTTGTCGGTAGAGGCATTCGTAGGCTTCCTTCTGTTCCAATTCTCTGGAGTTCAGTAGATAGCTCAGGTCGTCCGCGCCCTGGGCTACCCAAACATGCTGCACAGGATAGCAACACAAGGATCGAACGTGCTGGAAACACAACAACTTTTTAAGCCGAGATTCTGGAACGAACTGGACCCGCCGCTGGGCCGCGATCCTGAGGGCGTCCAGGTGTATGTCTCTGTCGGAGGCCACGAAGTAGTCCCTGGGGCGGGTCTGTATGTACCGCCGTAACTTCTTGCTGACGCAGGCATACGCTTCGTGCACATCGTAGAGGTATCTGCCGGTTTTCCGGTGCGAACAAAAGACATAAAGCCTGTCACGGGAGATGCCATCATGCCCTACATCGGCAGGGGAAACTTTCAAAGGGATGACCAAGTAGTCATCCTCCAGCAACGCCGCAATGGCCGTCATGTTCATGTCCTAGGGACCACGGAACCCTGCAATCACGATCGTGCATGTCATGCCCTCGCTACTTCATGCTGACCAAGTGGCTCTCACATTCTCTAGAATGAGCAACGGCGTCTGCTTGCGCTTGTGCTGCGCTGCCCAAGTGATGTAGATTTTGCCGCTTGGCCCTTCTTCGAACAAACGACCATGATTTGCTCGGCTGTTGTCCGGACAGGGCAGTCCCGACACGTCCAGCATCACAGGTGTGTCTACACAACATGGCTGAGCATGAGTCGTGCAGTACTGGTACCGTTGCAACGCAGCCGCAGTGACACGGCGTCTCTTGCACTCAAAACTCCCTCTTGACATGTCCACGGTGCCATCTAGCTGCTCCATGATGTCACCAAACACACACGGCAGCCGGCTACAATGCCCCGTGAAGGAAGACAGCCACTTGTGGTGGTCGACGATGAGTTGCCGGCACGCTGGGTCCACTTCCTGACACAAGCACACACACTCACACACACACACACACACGCACACACACTCAAAAGGACTGCGCACCGAAGCTGCAACCGAGGGACATGGCACATCACCGACTTCCAAGTACATGTATGCTGCAGAAAATGCGAATCATTAATCGTCTTCATGATCACGGCCATACACATCTCTGCAGTGTACGCGCCGGTGCACGATGACGACATGGTGCACTGAGACCGAAGGAAGCATGCCTAGGTACGTGCAAGGTGCAATGGTGACATGCTGTGATGTCTGCGCTTAGCTGTCAACCAAGTGGCCTCCATGCACCACTGCGGGAGTAGCTGGTGCAAAACAGACCAACTCATCTGGATCCCTCGCGCCGCAGTGCTAAGCATTGGCTCTGCTGACGGAACCTTAGATGTTTCAGCGTTTCTGGGCGAATACAACAACCCCAAAAACATCATGGTGTCAATTCCACTTTGAGGCTAGGAACCTGAAAGGGTGTCCCGAAGGAGGAGTGGGAACTAGCATCCGACAAAGTTTGGCTGGGAACCGCTCGTGGGGCATCAAGGTCACTATCTGACTCACCAGACACACGCGTAACTGTGTACCGCGAGATGTCTGTGACTGTGGCGCTGAGGCGTCCCTGCCGCGGGCTGGAAAAGTCAACCCGGCTCGCCATGAACAGCCCCCTACACTAGCCTAGGCAAGTGTTGGAGCCAAGAGCTGTGAGTCAGTAGCTTCGCATCTGGGAACAGCACTTCGCACAAACCAGCATACTGCAAATCTTGCACTGATCTGAGATGCGTACGATAGGAGGGGCATAACAGCCAATTTGCATTTCCGGCGACCACAGCATGATGACCTCCGTCGGCCTCTGGCCGATGTCGCTCCCATCGATGAATATCTTAGCAAGCAACACAAGTATCTAAAATAGAAATGCCAAGCTCTTGCCTCCATGTCATTGGTCCGCTAAGTCCGCGACTGTGAAGTGTTGACACTCCATGAATTCCAGTCGCGCACGCAAGACATAAGCCACCTGAGGTTCTGGAGCGGGACTTGGGACTGTTTGACTACAACTCAGAAAACAATCATGGCTTCTCAAGCGATCCTGTCCAAGACGCTGAAGCTTTGAATGCCAGCTGGGTTACCCGTAGGCCCACTGTCTTGCTGGTCTCCGCGATGGCTTTCGAGGCCCATCTGTCCTGCCAAGGCCGCATATCGTTGCGGGTTCAAGGTTATGAAGGTTTACGTTTAAGGAGCATCATTCTAGCCTGTGGGTGGTCAACCGGTCAATGCCCGATCCTTGCCGGTGTAGAGCCGGTCGGCTGCCAGTGCAGCCACACTGTTGATAGACAGCGTTGACAAGCGCCTTCTTTTGCTGCCCGAGTTGTGCAAAACATCAAAAGGCTTGATGGCAGCTGTCTCATTCTGCAGCATGGCCGGGATGACGACAGTGTCCAAGCTGTGAGCTACTTGCGTCAACAAGCCTCGAGCTTCCTTGGCCAAGAGGGCCTTGTTCTGCCGCAGCTCATCGTCCTTGTTGTTCTGGGGCAAAGGATCGAGTGACCACAAAATGAAATCTGCGATGCTGGGAGACTTGCGCGGTGAGGTAGGAAACGTTTTCTCAGGCTCCATGAAAGCCCCGTCCCAGTGCAAAGCTATGGCATCACTCATGTCTTGGTGCAAAAGCTCTGCCAGCATTCCTGTGCTCGGAACTGTGCCCTGCTTGGCGAACCGTTGTCCTGCGGGGGTGACTGCGCACCACCTGACAAGAAGACTGTCGTGGCACGCATGCTGTATCGTGGCCGCCAGAATCTCGGCAGCTGTGGTCTTTGATTCTGGAGAGCGTTTCGATGCAGTGAAGGCCCAGGTCAGAACAGAAATGAAAAGCGATGTCGGCAGCAGGTTCTGCATCGCACCATCGCCTAACAGATCCAGCCTGCGTATCTTGGGCACTTCGGTGCCCGGCCACAAGGCTTCATGACAGTGCTGTATGTCACCCCAAACAAGCTGGACTTTCGATTTGCGCTTGCTTCTCTTCACTTTCGGGTACAGTGCTT